AAATGAAAGTATTACAATGTAAAAGATTATTATTTTGTAGGCTACATAAATATAAAAATACCTACATGTCATAATGGATAGTCATTGCATGTATCAGAATTAGGCTACCTATTTGCTCACACACGAGCAGATCCGTTTCATCTCTGGAGACGCGTTCTGTCTGCGCTTGCAAATTCTGCCATGTAAATTGCAAATTCTGCCATGTAAATAGCAAATTCGCCATGGTGCGAGCGCAACTGGCTCTTAAAGGGAATGGGAGATGAGACTCTCATTGGTTTATTGCACGTTATGCCCAAAGCACACCCATTACTCATTAAGAGAATAGGGACAACCCTTTTAGACCTTGCGCTGGGTGCGCCGACCGTTTTTCCCGTCGTTAAACTAGCAAAAGTGGATTCGGACACGCCCTAAGTGCACCTGTGCCGTGCGCTTTAGACCTTGCGCTTAGATTGTTAAAATAGGGCCCATTGTGTTTGGTCAAAGTGCAGTGGAGTCTTGGAGCTCAATCTCTGCATTCACATAATTCAGGTCCATGGTCAGAAAGCAGCATGGGAGGATCCAGTGGAGTGGGTGAGGGATACGCTGCCCTGGCCTTCAGCTCAACAGGATCAGGCCAAACTCTTTCACCTCCCTCCGCCAACCACCGGCCCCAACACTGCTCCAACACAGCAGCCCAGTGACGACAGGATCACGTCCAACAAGGACACGTCTCTGCCCACAATGGAGTCCGATCCACTGGTGAGTGTCCAGTACAGCTACACCTGAACCTTTGTGAACATGTCTGCATTTGTTCTGACAAGCTGTCCTTGTTCTGTCCATCATTCAGATGGCAATTCTGTTGAAACTCCAGGAATCTGCCAACTACATCGAATCACCCGAACGGGATATTTCAGGCAACCCCACTTTCTAGGCTGAGCTAAAAGACTCGAGAGCTTCCTAATGGCTAGGGCTGTTACAAAACACTGTTCTGTACAGCTGATTTGCACCTCCTGTCTCCTTCAAAAGGTTTGTGAGAGTCGAGAAGAGGAACCGTCAAGAACATCCATGTCAAGAAGTCTGAAAGAAAAACTAAAGAACTGATCCTGCCAGATCTGAGTGAGAATCTTTTTTGCACTGTTGTCTTAACCAGACCTTCCTTTGCTTATTTAACCTGCAAGTTGCATGGCAATACTTGCAACTGGGGACTGTGAAGATTGGATTATTGTGAATATGAAATGTTCTTGTCTGTCATACTGGGAACAAAATTTGCTCCACATTTGTTCGATATTACTTTTGTTTTGGGTAATATCTGACCATATGGACCAAAAATGTATTTATTCTTGTTTGCAAAAGTACCGACACTCCATCCTCAAGATCAAGTTGCCTGAATCCTGTACACAAAGGTGCGGTTACATTTAGACCAACTCGCATGGATGCAAAACGTAACGTACAAGATGGTGCTTAGAATTCAGCCTTAAATGATGTCCCTCCATATATCATGAAGTCAGTCCCATAGCAATCTGATTATTACTCTATATTACCTCACAGTTTGCATAGTGATGCAGTTTTAAGGTGCAGTATATACCCATAACCAGGTTGCATTCATTCCTATCAAACACACAGACATCGGACAGATGTAGACTAGATCTCTGAGAGGATGCACTTTGATTCTTAGCTTTCAATCAAGAGCACTTACTGGTTGTTCAAGGTTCGTAGGTTGTTCGCTTCAATGGTGAGTTGCAGCAACAAAGCAACCAAAAGTCGTTTGTTTTGAGTTTGAGGCGACATGAGCAATAGATACTGTTGGTGATTGACAAAGTTCAGCTATATGCAAATGTCTACCAATGGGAGAACAGAAAATGAAGCTCATGTGATCTGCCGCCTTATATTGTTGGTCGTTTATTGCCTACAAAACTTTAAGGCGGCACTTGGAGATGCAGCAAAGCTGAGCATGACTGCAGTAGGGCTCATGTGATGCACCGCCTGATACAGTCGGAGGGCGACCTCAGGCGATTTAATCGTTGTCAGTAATAACAGAGGTGCTGTTACCGGTGCACGAGAACAGTATGCAACATCTTACTTTCAGTAACTATCTATGTGCGTCCAGTGCATTTGACCTTATGAAGATAATCAAAGGCTTTGTTCTCACTGATACCCCAAACCCACTTGGCTTTGTGCTGTAGCATTACTGTAGCAACTAATGTAGGCCCTGTTTCCACCTGGTATTAACATGCATTTCAAATGCATCTAATGTGACCTTTTGTGATTGGATTTTGTTGAGTAATTCCCCTTTTATTTTGGGATTCTCAACATCTCTTTTGCAAGAGCGCCAAATGTGGCAAACAAATACCATGGAATGAAGGAACCTATGTTGCGCAGCTTACAAGCGAGCGGGAATGGAAAAAAAAGAAAAAAAAGATAGATGGCAGCTGCAATTTGGATCATAATCTCGTTTATGATGAAATTGCTTAAGTTTTAGCTTCAGTTTGAGTCGCTTGTTTTGTGTGCTTTCTTTCAACATGTCTCAGAACGATCATGTGTTAGTTAAGGGTGGGTGGCGTCTAGGCATCCAGGACAAATGGGAATTTACATTGTAAATGTGATGTGGTCACATGCATTTTTGACTACCTCCATTTGTGGTTTCAGTGATTCGATCACAGTTTTAGACCCTGTTTACACCTGTATTTAGTACCGGACACTTGTGATCGGATCGCCAAAAACACGTTAATACAAGGTGGAAACTTAAATATAAATATACTGGATATTGACTCCACTGCCTGAACAAATGCTTTCAACATGTCTCAGAACGATCATGTGTTAGTTAAGGGTGGGTGGCGTCTAGGCATCCAGGACAAATGGGAATTTACATTGTAAATGTGATGTGGTCACATGCATTTTTGACTACCTCCATTTGTGGTTTCAGTGATTCGATCACAGTTTTAGACCCTGTTTACACCTGTATTTAGTACCGGACACTTGTGATCGGATCGCCAAAAACACATGTTAATACAAGGTGGAAACAGGGCAGTAAATATACTGGATATTGACTCCACTGCCTGAACAAATGAAGCCAATTTGAGCTCCTGCCAAATAAAATGCAGATAGATTGGGTTTGAAAACAGATCAGGATTGTTTGCAGTGTGAACAAAGCCAAAATGGTTTAAACAATTTATGTCTGGAGGAGGTTTAGTCATTTGTGTTTGGCCTTTGTTATGTCTAGAGGTTCAATCACATCAGTGTTCGCTTACAGTTTTACACGCACTTATGTCCTTTGGTGTTTTGTAACAATGTAGCCAGTTTTTGGATTTAACATTGCATTTGTTTTTATTTCTGGTAACTTCAAGTCACAGGACGACCCCATGTCAGGGTCTTTTACAAACTCTCAAATCATTCCAGTAACAACTGTAACACAGAATATCTTGTGATTCAATTCACATTTAAAAAATAACAATGGTGGATTGCAACTCATGAATGCGTTTGCTATTGGCTGATTACAGGTGCTCCAGATCTGTATGTGCATGAAAGCTTCAACTCTGAGGAACATTATAGCTAAAAAAGACGCCAACGGATGTGTTGGCAACCAGTCTACAAGAGCAAAGTGATTTTTTTAACCTAAATTACCAAACTGAAACTGAATTTCTCATGTATATGTACTAACCGGTTAGTACTAGCACTATAGCAATGTCATGAAACTATGCCGTTGTAATCTCAGAATGTAAATTGGATCAAAACTTAAGTTTGCCAACACACCTAGTGCTCTTGATGATGCTTGCCGCCGCTTGTGCTCGTGTTTACGTGTCCTGTTACTGTCAGATGTAGCTCTCCAAATGAATAACCAGATGAGCATTTTTTTAAAGGTCTTTTTTGTACGCGTTTGTTTTTTACTAAAGGATCCAAGGCTGACATTTGTAAATAGATTTACAAAAAAATTGCCAAAAAAAAAAATACAAACAAAAATGGTCTAGGGTAGAATAAACAGAGCAAGGTTAAAATATCACAACTATGAACTGAATGTGTCTGGTTAGATATACATTACAGCGAGGATCGCGGTCATCTCTCAGTTATCGCCTTTCCTGTAGAGGCAAGTTAACTGCCACAAAGTAACTAGATCATGTTGCCTATGTACATGTTTCACTATAAAAGTGTCCTCTGTATTCTCTTCCGGATCGTACAAGGTATTGAATGGCTTTTACGATTGAGTTGGCCATAACAACCCATTAAAAAACAAGTCAAATGAAGTGCTTTAGCGGTGCTTCAGCTCACACAAGTACCTCAAAATCTGTCTTAACAGCTCATCGTATGATCATAAACTTCCCTTAACCGCTTAAGATAGTTTGGGGCTTTGGGGAAGATTCCCCAGTGTTTGTCATGAAAATGTGCCTAATATAAGCCAACTCGTTGGACATTGCAATACCTAAACTATTATGTTTTGCAAGGGATTGTTTGCTGTGGAGGATAAGAATGCGAGCGAACGTGTTATCCTTTTTTTATGCTAGCTTATAAATAACATTGAGATTTGAGCTCGCCGGTAGTCTCGTTTCCAAATGTCCTGGAAATCGAGGCTGCTTTGCCAGCTAGCACAAACTAAAGCCATTGCCCACTGTCTCTCAGATATATTTGCCATCATAGTACAGTGTGCTTTATCATATCTGCTGTCTTGCATATGAACTGATACAGTTTGGACAACCTAAAATGGAGTGTCTAAGTCTTGATTAATTTATTCAGTAATTTTTTACTGTTTTACGACTAACAATGCTGAATGTTCAAGCAGGCACATTAATAATACAAAACCTGTGCTTTATAAACTCATGTTTTCCCACTTGTTTTAGATTAAACGGGTTCAATATTGTTCAGTCAAAACAGATTCATGATTTGTCACTATGCAACGTTGGAATAACATTGTAGAGTTGAGTTGTTAGTACCAATGACAGAAAACTATGGTATATGTAATAAGCTAATGTGCAGGTTTGATGGTGTTTTAATGTTGATGTGTATCACCATTGTTTGTCTGGAAAAACACATTGGACCTACCTGTCCCACTGGGATTTCAAACAAAATCTATGTTTTTCTTTTTGTTCTTCTTCCTCTTTTTTTCCTGCTTTCTCTTTAATAAATCTTTCTATTTTGTATAGAACATTGCAATTGTAAACATTGTAAATAGTAAACTCATCCGCGACCACAATCACAGTAAAATATGAAAAGATCCGGCCCTATGATGAGACACCTTTTGTTATTGTTGGTTTTATTATTATTTTTTGCAAACTGTCTGCTGGAAAGGGGTTATAAAGGCATGTGCTGATCTGAGAGAATTTCTTCCATCAAATATTCACTCACGTTTCCAATAAACTCGTGCCATCCCTACATTGATTTTGTGCTTTTATTTCAGTTTTAAAAAATGTTATTTGGCAATTATTACATGAATGTAATAGAACATGACAGCTGTTTGTATTTTGTATCACTAAATTTCTTAACACAAATATCCCTGTTCTAAAATTACTTTTTACATTTACATTTAGTCATTTAGCAGATGCTTTTATTCAAAGCGACTTACAAATGAGGACAGGGGTAATAATATGTAAGTGATGTGACAAGTCTCAGTTAGCCTAACGCAGTACACGTAGCAAGCATTTTTTTCTATAATAAAAAAACAAACAAACAAGTAGATAGAATAGAAGAAGAATAGAGAACGCTAGTGTTAGAGGGTCTTTAAAAATAAAACCAGTCAAAAGAATAGAAAAAGAACAGAATGCTAGTGTTAGAGGGTCATTTTCATAATAAGAAAACAAGAATAGAGAATGCTAGTGTTAGGGGTGTTTTTTAAAGAAAACCAGTAGTAAGAATAGAAATAGAATAGAGAGTGCAAGTGTTACAGGGTCTTTTTTAAATAAAAATAAAACCAGTCAAAAAAAACAGAATGCTAGTGTGAGAGGTTAGTCTTTTTTAGATTTGTCTCCCTCAAGTGTCTTAATTTTGTACCTGCGGTAAGGACAGCACTTTGTATTTGCAATTTTAGACGAAAGAGGGCGCCGCATTTCAAAAACTAGGATTAAATTCAATAAGGAGTGATTTAAAAAATGAGAAAGGTCAAGTACAATTGTAGTCTGAAATATTTGAACTCTAGTCACGAAATAAGCTACATGATGCTGAGTTAAGCAATAGATACTAAGAGTTTGAGTAATGAGGTGAGACCCGTTTACGGTTATTCCTGAGTTGATAAAAACAGATTTGTCAAGGCTATTTAAAGAAGAGGAGGAGTCCCGTAGTCGGTATAAATTGAACGTCCCAAAAGACTTTCCCATTTCAAAGACCGGCCGTCCTGTAGAGTTTTCCCCAAGCATCATGCCAGCCAAACCAGCACCTATCAAAAAGTCAGCCAAGAAGGCTGCTGAAAAAGAGGAGAAGCCAGCAGAGCCGGCGCCCGTGCCCGAGGCTGCCCCCGCCGAGGCGCCTCCCGCTGAAGCGGCGCCGGTAGAAGCTCCCGCTGAAGCGGCAGCGGCGGAAAGCACTCCCGCTGCGGAGGTACCTGCTCCTGAAGGTTGGCTACTCGACGCATCCAAACGCTGCTCTTTATTATAACAACATCTCATTTAAAAGAACAGTTGGTCGCACTTTGTTGTAAACTGTATTGCTACTCACCTTAACGTTCAAATGAATGATATTGTTCACGGACGCCTAACAGATGAAACATTTTTTTAATGGAAGAAAGCATCAGTTCTGTAGAAGACTCACACACGCCCTCTAATGAACAACATGCGCTACTTCCACTCACTTCACTAGGAATCTGACGACGTTTTTAGCTCAAATTTACCATAGTAATCTGCCAAAACTTCAAAGCTACTACACTCACTGCGGCTAGCAGTGTTATTTTAGTGTGTTATTTACTAATACCGTTTATTGAGATACTATTAAAGTTTTTATTAATATTTAATTAAACAAGGTTTAATAATCGTTTTAATTTTAATATTTTGTGTGTGTGTGTGTGTGTGTAGTGCATCAAAATGACACTTGGAATTTTTTTTTTTTTTTCAGTTAATGGTTATTTTATTTCAGGTAACAATTTTTTTTATGGTTTTAGTTTCAGTTTTACTTAACTATTTAGCTGCTGTAAAATGATAATGAATTTATCAAATGTTATACAATAAATGTTGATTTTTTTTTTTTTTGTCAGGCAGTATTTATTTATTTACTGACAGTGACTAATAGTATATCAAAATAAAAAAGTTGTATTATAGTAGCAAATACTGTATTATCATTTTTGGGAGAGACTGTTACAATGATAAATTTATGTCATTTTGTGCAACTCTTTTATTGATTTAGGAAAACTGAATTTTCTGAACACCCACAAAATGCTAGAATATAACTACTCGTAAAAAGATAACTTAGGTGTTGGCATTACAATAATTAATTTTGCAAAATAGAAACTTAAAATTGCAATGTTCATAAAGGTGCTGTAAAAAGAGAAAATGTCCTCTTGAATCTCTTGAGCTACAGGAAGGCTGAACTGTCACAAATCTAAATCTAATAATTATTATGTACATGCATTAGTGTAGAAGTTTCCCTAATATGCGTCTAACCCCAGAGTTTCCTCAGAAGCAGATGAATTAAATAGAAAGCACTTGATGATCCTTGAGCCTTGTCTTACAGCAGCATTGTAATTTATACCTATCCTCTAACGTGTACCTAACAACTTCTAACATTTACTTAACATGTAACTCTAGCCTCTGCCCCTGCTGCTCAGACCCCAGCGTAGGCTAAAGCTATAAAAATGACTTCCTGTAATAGTACAGAGTACAACAGCATTTTTAAGCATCATCACATTTTTATTGTTACATTAACCCATGTCTCAGAATCAAAACAACTTCCCTCCCCTTCTGCACTTTGTTTGATCTCTTCTATCACTTTAACACTGTACGTTTACATGGACAACAATACTTCGATTTTAATACGATTAAGACAACACTCTGATTAAGAATCTACCATGTAAACAGAGATTTTTGATTACCTTAATCCCGGCTAAAGTCATAATCGAAGAAAAACAGAAATCGAATTAAAGGGGTCCTATTATGCTTTTTCACTTTTTTAATTTTAGTCAGTGTGTAGTGTACGTGTGCCATTAATCGAACTATGTACTATAACATGTAAAACGGGAACATGAAAGGAATATTCTAAAAGCAACTCATGTAAACACCATAATCATAATATTGGCTTATTTAGAATAAGGTAAATAATTAGATTACTGATGTCCATGTAAACGTATGTTCAGATTCCATCAGTTTACAAAGACTGATTCATCCAGCCATCATCTATCACACCAAATGTTACTTCTTCAGTAAACTGGTGGCCTGCTGAGTGCAAAAACCACTGATCACCAACAATGTGTGCTGTCAGCCAATGCAAGAACGGCTGTGGTTGAAGAGTGTGTCTCACTGCATGCTGAAATGAAATGGCATGACTTTTCACCTGACTTTTCATTAGCGTCTTGAGCTGCTGATGTGTTTAGAAACTGATGTGACCACTGCATGAGGGGGAGGTTTTGTTAGGTTAAGGTATATATCTGCAGACGTTTGTGCTGTATAAGAAGGTGCTATTCCTGCAGCTGTTACATGACGCTAAACTACCATTACTAAAAAAAAAAAAGACTGCTTATTCTAAACAGTACTAATCTAGCGATCTCTCCAGAGTGGCACTGCGCTAATGGAAGTCTAATGATTTGCTATCAGGCCCTGCTGAGGAAGCTGCTGCCTCCACTGATGCTTCAGCTGAGGGTAAATCATTTTGGTTTGGTCATGATTTTTAATTATTCCATTTCAGTTTGGATCCAGATGCTTTATAATGTGAGATACACCCTTCAGCAAATGACAATAAATGCTTTGATTGTGTTGTTTTGATTTTATTGACATAGCAGTAAAATCCTTGATGCATGTGAATGAATTGAACTCTGAATCCTAATATTCCTGCATATTTGATCATCAGCTGCACCTGTGGAAGAGCCACCTAAAGCACCAACACCACCTCCTCCAGCAGGTAAACTATTTATCCACCCAATCAGTCAATCAATCCATCCATCCATCCATCCATCAAATCCGTCCATTCACCCACTCACCCATCCATTCATTCAGTCAATCCACCCAACCATTCCTCCATCCACCCAAGCATCCATCCATTCCTCCAACCTATCCAGCCATCCACCCACCCAGTCTATCAACCCAATCATTCAGCCACCCAATCCTGCCATCACCCAACCGGTTATCCACCCAATCTGTTCATCCCCATCCATCTACCCAATCCATCCAGCCATCCACCCAATCCATCCATCCATCCACCCAATCAATCAATCACTCCAAACACCCACCAAATCCACCCAATCTCACCTACCCATCCATCCATTCGCCCAATCAATTCATCCATCCACCCAATCTACCCCACCTATTCATCCATTCTTCTGCCCTATCAATCCATCAACCAACCAATCAATCAACCAACCAACCAATCAATCTATCTATCCATCCACCGAATCTACCCAGTCATCCTTCCATCCATACGTCCATCCATCCATCCATGCTCCCAATCAATCCATCCATCCATCCCCATATAGCCATCTATCCACCCAGTCTACTCACCTACCCATCCATCCATTCGCCCAATCAATCCATCCATGCACTCATCCACCCAATCCATCCATTCTTCTTTTAATAATTGCAGTACTGTAGAAATGCATGTTTATTTTCTGCTGTGAATTCATTGTATATATATATATATATATATATATATATATATATGTCTCTAATTAATGTGCAGTGCCCACAAGTGCCCCTCAGAACCTCAGTGTGGATGATGTCAATGACACCTCAGTCACTCTTAGGTGGAGATCCCCAGAGAATATTGGCTCTGGACTGGATGGATATACCGTGGAATACTGCAAGGAAGGATGTGCGTATATCCTCTCAGTATTGCTGATAAGCTCTTTAGTCTTAGGGATGGTAGTTCAATCATCGTGCCTTCTTCTTGATATTGAAGCATGTTGAACTATCAGATGTCACCAGAAAAGTGGGTTATATGACAGTCTGTTATAGCACCTGTCTTCGAAATGTCACCACAGACTGATTTATAGCCAGCTCCTGTAGGTCTCCCTATTAGGAAGGGATGCTTTCAACCAACTGTCTCCGTATCTGCGCACCCCACATTTAGATTTGTGGATGTATAATGACATCACTGCTAGTGTGTTTGGAAATTCATATTTGATCTTTAACTGGCTAGTTGACGCATAACATCCACAAGTTTTTGTTATCAATATCGAGATTTTAGGTTTCAAATTTTTATGAATGTATAATGTATTATCAAAATAATGTAAAGTATAATTT